TTTGTATTCTTATCCATGTTAACTATTTCTAGTAATATTTATCTGATAATCAATTATTTAGCCACTTTGCCCCCTGATGTAGCTAAATGACATCATTATAAAAATAAGCAAACACATTATTAATAATAATATGAAAAAAATTGTCAAAAAATTTCAAACAGTTCTTCATCCCTAATAAACAATAATTGTGCTTTCCACTGCAGGTTAGAGCCATTGCACTGGACCAAAGTGTGGAGGCTGTAGAGTTGACGAGAGAAAATGCATTAAGGTAACTTGTAATTTGTGTCATTAAAATCTGTGTGTGTGTGTGTGTGTGTGTGTGTGTGTGTGTGTGTGTGTGTGTGTGTGTGCGTGTGCGTGTGTGTGTGTGTTTTAACATCCAGTATGTTCATTCCAATTATTTTGACAGGTTAGGACTTCAAGACAGACTCAAGGTTTATCACGTAGATGTCATAAAAGGTAACCGAATGGTGATCAACACAGTATTTATTGTATATACACACACACACACACACACACACACACACACACACACACACACACACACACAAAAGAAAAAAATAAATGTTGATAAATGCATTGTTTGTCTGATGTTTTTTCCAGATGCCGAGACGGTGTTGAAGCTGTGCAGCAATGTCGCCGTGTTGGTCAGTAACCCTCCCTATCTCTTCTCAGAAGATATGCCTTCGCTGGAACCAGAAATTTTGAGGTAACGAACCAAGAGCGGGAAAACAGGAAATCGATAATATTGTGTAAAAACCTTTGAGAAACAGGAAGTATTTTGATGATGTGTGGACAATCTATATTTGCAATGGGAATCGAAACTTCCTGAGTAGAGCTTTATGCTGACTTTTGAACGTTTCCCATCTAAAAACAGTCCAATACAGCCGTGCATTCATTATTAGGACTGCATTACCAAGATCTGATGCCGCCGTTAAATAGGGAAGGACACATGATATTTAAAAATAGCAAAGTAGTGCATTTATGGCGAAACAGAAATTGTTTATAGATGAAATCAAAGCAAAATGAATTGTCAATTTAAGTATCGTTTAACTTTGGAGGACATGCTAGGCCAGAGCTCTGATGACAATTTAGGTCCTCCTGATTAATCTTGACCAGTGGTTCTCAAGCTTTAGACACAAAGTACCACCTCAAAAAAGTAGTTGGTTTTCCAACAACCCCTATGATGACCAACATTGAGATACAGCACAGTAGTAGACTCAAATGTTCATCAAAAATCAAGCAGATCTTTTAGTCCTTCAAAGTATAATCACTGTAACATTGTGCACGGTTTGAACATGAGCGCCGTGCTTAAATGTAGGAAAATAAAAACCTATTGCATGAAAATGTTTGAAAACAAACATTTTTAAATGATCATATGCAAATGTTTTGTACTTAAATGTTAAATACAACTGAACAATACTTAAAATGTAATATAGTGGAGTAAAAAAAAAAATCTGTCGTCCTTTAACATTTAAGTCATTCTTTCATTGGGTGGTACTTGGACCACACTGAGAATCGCTCAGCTGATTGCTTGACTTGGCTCTAGTTTTAACATGTTAGCACAGTTACTGACACTCTCTACCATTAGATATTATCACTAACATTTTTGGAGTGTTTTTCAGGGTACTCACAAATTCTTCACAGAAAAGCTTGTGCTAAAATTTGGACACAATCTCTAGGGTATGCAAAAATGTGAAACATACACAATGTCACTATGCACCCTTCGCTGATTTCCTTTCAAGCTATTTAGTCACATGTTAACACATAAAATAAATAAATAAATACGTAAAAATAAACAAATAAATACATAAATATAACCAAATAAATAAATAAAAGAAAGCATTTGTTTCACTACCAGGACATAACAAGGAGACATAGGTAAATAAACTGTGGTAAATTAGCGTGCCTCTTTATCTTGAGCTGAAAACTAGCGTGATTAGCTCAGCTCTCTTGCTTTTGCCAGTCTTTTAGACATGTTTTGGACAAATCATCCATCCAGCCATCCATTATATGATGACATGGGGTCCGATACTTTTGAACGGTGCTGTGTACGTCATATAAAATTATTTTTTAAAAAACATTAGATGTCCATTGACAGAAATGTTCTTTTATATATGATGGCAGGTTTGAGGACCACGCCGCTTTGGATGGGGGAAAAGACGGCTTGAAAGTGATCCGCGCGATTTTAACCCTGGCTCCACAGATTCTGTCAGATGATGGGTAATGCCCAGATGTAATTCCTCCACCCCCTAACAACCCATGTATGGTTTTGCCCCTAAGCCTTTTTAATAAGTCATGTGCTCCGCCCAAAAGCTGCTTGTGATAATCTTGTGCTATTGTAATTGCATTTTAATCAATCCTGTGCTCTGTTGCCACATAAACAACAGCTGCGTTTACTTGGAGGTGGACCCCAGGCACCCTCAGCTCATTCGGGACTGGCTGGAGGTCAACGTAGAGTGGCTGCGTTTGGCAGAGACACGTCACGACATCACCAGCAGGTCCGTCCACAGAGCGCAATGCTGAACGCGATAGAGTAGACCCATGACTGTGCATTTGATTTCCACCACACGGACAATCATAACTTTATTTCCAAATTAGACACGAAGTGCGCGTAATGCTCTGCGCTGCCTTCCCATCCGATGTTCAAATTCGGAAAGGATGACATTGATTTGTTTGTGTTTCCCAGGCCTAGGTTTTGCATCCTTCGTAAAGACAAGGCCAACGACCGCACGCTGCACTTGGGTTGAGAAAGCGAGATCCTATTATGTTGGCTTTAGGCCAGGTCACCGGAGCCCTTGCTGACCAGCTCCCCTCCCCCTCCACTCCCGAGCTGGCAAACACGCACCGGCTTTAATCGCTCAATATTCTCTGGTATTACTTCCAGCAGGAATCATCCAAATCAACCCGCTACTGCGCTTTTTAATCTGCGTGCGTCCCATGCCACAGAAAAATGTGTGTGCGATGGCACAAGAGCGGCTCAAAGCAGAAGGTAATTACCAAGGCTTTTCTTAGAAGCCTCTCTCTCAGAAATCGTACCCTCCTCCCTGGAAGCATTTTGTAGTTCTGTGAATCGCCTGATGAATGGTCCTCCCCTTTGCCCGTCCACTCACTGACTCAGATGCAGGAGCGCGCGCGCACACATGCGAGCACAATGTGGCCATTACTGCCTCGTGCAATCTCGCGCACACTCGAAGCTCACAGGCCTCATGGTCTCTTTTTTATTCCTGAGCTGATCGAATGGGTGAAATATTTCCCATACGTCGCCAAGGCCAAAACAATCCTCATTTGGAACAACACAAAAATTGTCATCGTCATCCATGTTTGACTGAATATCAAAGGGGAAGGATTGAAATTTAACATTTCCTAGATATCAGTCAAGTAGTTTTAGTGTAATCCATTTTAGCACAAACAAAGGACCATCGCCTCGGGAAAAAAGCCCTCGTCACCGTGTGCGAATATATATGCGGTACAATATTTAAAAATAAAAGCTTTAATTTCAGACTGACGAATCTGATATTTATACATACACGACCGATCTATGGCTGGGGTCAATCAGACCACTTCATATACAGTATATACACTGCCATTTAAATGTTTGGAGATCACATAGAAATGTCCTTATTTAAAAAAACAAAGCATTTTTTTGAGCACACAACAATGTCTGCATTTTATTTATGATTAATGTAATCTTCATTGAAAAAAAAAAAAAAGCATCATTCTACTTCAAATTAAATAAGTCCGACATTTCCAAATGAGGTTTTGAATTATAGTGTATATACAGTTGTGCCCGGGAGTTGACATATATGTGCAGAATTTATAAATGAGTGATCAAGAAAATTTTTTTTTAGGGGAGGAGGATTCAAACGAAATTAGAAGGTATTTCAGAATAGCATGATCATTAAACAAATAATACCAATCAAGAAAATAATCAGATGGTCCCCGTTCAGTCATTAGACATATTTTCCGAAGAATTGCCCATATTTCACAAATTCTGCCAGCGAATGTAAATGATGCTTTTCTTTCAAAAACAAGTGGTTTCCGGATGACCCCAAGCTTTTGAACAGTCGTGCATATAATATACGATTCTAAAAACAAATGAAAACCTCATGGGAAAGTTTTCACATTGCACCCAAAACATTTAACCCACAAATCGTATATGTATACAGCTCTTGAAAAAAATTGGAAATTCCTGCAACATTATTATTATTATTAAAACACCGAAGTGTCACTAATATACAAATAAACTGAATTGTTTGTCGTTTTCTGCCATTGTGCATGAGTAGTTGTCATATTTTTACTCCGAGAACCATCTAAAAAATACTTGGCTCTCCGAGTACCACCAACATGATTAAAATTGAATACAGTAACATATTAGGCCTAGGTGTTCATGAATAACGAGACAGAAGTTTTATTCCTAAAACATAAGTATTTGATATTATGGAAAGATAGCGTAACATTTGAAGCTGAAATATAGGAAGAAAAAAAATACTTGTATGATGATTTAAGAGTTTTAATAAAAATTATACCGGGGGGGGCAGTACAAAAAAACACAATTCTGACAAATTGTACGCAAATCTTTTGTAGTAAAAAGTTAAATACAACTAAACTGTGTTTGTTTGTTTGTCAACCCCCCCCCCCCCCCCATGCGTACGACAAAGGAAGCCCACGCCCACGAGTGGTACTATAACCACATTTTTACAATCGCTGGTCGAATGTATATGATTGTGATGAAGTGTAGCAAGCACCATTGGCCCACAAGTCCATCCTTGATTTTGAAGTCATCTTTTTGTTTTGTTTGTTTAATATACAGAGTAGTGGTCACTTGTTTTTGTATTTTTTTTGTTTTTTTTCCAAAACCAGTATATACTGTATGCTATTGAAAAACTGTAACTAGATATATTTTATTTTATTTTTTTTATAACCACTTAAGTGTTTGGAATCTGACTGAAGTGGTTGAATAAGGTAATGGTCAAAAAAACAACGACACATTGCACATGTAAAAGGTAGAAAAAGGCTTTTACTGAAAAAAATAAAACGGCAAAGGTATGTAAATGGAATCAGTGTATGTACATCTCATGCAATCCAGTCCAAATGATATATCCGCACACACACATACACGCACACGCACTCATGCGCGCTGATATCAACTCAATTTATACATGTTTAAAAAAAAAATAATAATGACCCTGTGTCCAAAGTTCTGAAGCAGCAAATGTCATTTCCATGTGAATGGGGGGCGGGGGGATAAAAGGAACAGTTTGTGTGTTTGTCCTCCTTTGCAGTTGAGATAAGCCTCATACCTTGAAGGGGTATTCCTGTAAGAAACGCAGCAGAGGCCTTGGGAGTGGTAGCTGGTCATGGCGCTCCGAATGCCTGTTGATGACCAGGCGGGTAAGGTGCTGCAAGGAGGGCAGGCTCTGCGGCTTGTACACGGGCCGCCTTAATTTTAGCACCACAGACGCCGACGACTCCTGGATTGTCACTTTGGAAGTAGCCTCCTTGGCCGCCGTGCCCCCCTCCTCGTCTGCCGCGCTCCTCTCCGGTCCCATGTAGTGCTGGACCAGACTAGGCACGCTGGGGAAGGACGACAAGCTGGGCCGAGCCGGCGAGCTGCAGTCCAGCAAGAAGCGGGTACAGCTGTACTGGATGCGTATGCTGGTGGGACCGCGGGCCGTCTTGACGGAGAGGGTGAGCATGTACAAAGGGTGGCTGCTGTCTCGTACCAGAAAAGCCCCCTCAGAGGCCTCTTGAAGTGCACCGTGCGCCTGGGCCGCACTTATAGCTCCCCAGTACCACCCTACACACATACCGCCATGTTAGCACATCGCTTAGCACATCTCAAGACAAGCCCTCGACCCAAAAATTCTTGGAAAATATGCCTCAAAAGTTGAAATCATTGTCATGTGAGACTACTAAAGAACAATTGTCAAACCCAAGATCTGGAAATAATGCCAAGAAGCCTTGGTTTAGATGGTCACAACAATTTTTGAGGTTATGAATCGTGCCCAGCCTCGGAATACGTTGTCACGCAACACAAGACTCTTGCACTTTTGAGTTTTCATTTGTTTCTTTTATATTTGTGACATAGATGTATTTTTCATACAGTTGTCACAGTCAAATATGAAGTGTGACAAATTCTAGCTAGAGCAGAGGCGTGAGAACACGTCTTGACGCGGCACAAGAAAGCACACCAACCAAGAAGTTAGCACCGGATAATCACTGCTGATGCATTTGATTTGTATTTTATTTCTTGCCTTCAAGCATTTTTCATACAAATATCAACTGTTAAAATGACCTTTTTTGGTTACAATGAACTGCTTTGAGCGGTAGTGAAAAAAAATGTGTTACGATACCTCTGTACCACGTTTTTTTTTTTTTTTTTTTTTTTTAATTGGTTTGAAATTTCCGGCCTGCAAAGTGTTTTTCAAAACAACATTTACTGTAATCATGAGGTTTCGGGAATATGAACTGCACGCAATGAACTACTTTGCGCAGCAACATAACAATACGGCGGCACAAGAAAGCACACTCAATTACCGCCCTACTTATTGTCTATTTCATTTGTTTATCATTGATGGCCTAGAAGTGTTTTTCATACAAATAATCGCAGTCGATATTTGAAATATCGACTGTTGTTATGTCTTTACTACTGCGTTATCCTCAGTTAGTGGAAGACAAAATGGCGTGTTCTGATGTGTACCGTAGAAGACCTCTCTGCTTAAGAAACTTATGACATGATTAAAAATTTTTTTTCTGATTTCTAAATATGTTTTTCGCGATTGTGTTGGTCAGATTTGTTCAGAAACAAAAGCATGGGCAGTCGTGACAAAGTTTATACGTTTATGATTTCGCAGTTACTGTATAACCAGGGGCAACTTTAGTGGCAACGCGGCCTCTGCCACAAAAACAAATAGGACAGCCCAAATCTAAGTCCAGAAATGTGTTCTTCTTTGTCTTTAAATTATGTAAAGCCATCACAAACGACATCGCTAACAGCAAAGAGGAAAAAGTGTGACACTAGCGACCGAACACTAATGTACGTAACTTATCGCTACTCTGTACTGTACGAACAATGCAGGCGATGACGTATCAATTACGTAACGCAAATACAGGGGCTTCTTTGTTTCCAACAGAGTTCAATCCCTACTACATAACCCTAATTTGCACATAAATCGGAACCACATCACAGTAACAGTCGAGATGAAAAATACATTTCGTCCATGAATGTAAAACAATCAAATGAAAAACTGTGAACACAGTGATAACTGAGCGTGCCCTTCTTGTGCCACATGGCAACGTATCTTTCTTACGCTGCTGAGCAAACGAGTTGATTGCGCGCCGTTCATAACCTCAAAATGTTGTAATGTATAACGGGACCATCGTAAACCAAGCACCCCTCACCCCCTCCTACATGTTACCAAGCACATGCCCTGTTCACTTACACATGTAGTGAATTTAAAAAAAAATCTACACACACCTGTTCAAAAGGCAAGTGTTTGTCATAAAAATAAAAACAATGTGGCCTGTACCCTGTACAACTCTATTGAATGTGTTTATGTATTCATTTAAACTTTTGGAGCTGTAATCTGAGATAACATGGTTGCAAAAGTGTGAACACCCTCTTAACTGGGGATACGGCGATGTTCACAATCAACTAGTTACATTCAAACTCGTGATCTCTCTCTCTTTTTTTTTTTTTAATCATAAAAACATCCGATAGGTGTGTAAACTTTGTATATCCCCTCTACAGTGTATAAGGCTCTTGTGCTGTCAACAATTAATTCCAGCAGTACGACAACAACAGGTAACACCCCCTCGCCATTCCATGTCTCTGTGGCATCTTCAAATGAGTAGTTTTACTTTATTTTACTTTAGTGGGAAAAACTTGGGAGAGTCAGGCGTGTATGCTCATATACCACACCTGATGTTTCTAAGTGGCAGAAGTTGCTCGCAATGGCCTGCAGATCCTTGGTGGGATCCCATAGTGACGTGCTGCTCTGGAGGCAAGGCGTTGGCGCGACCGTCCCTGCCCGCATGCCCCTGTGGGGGGCCTCAGTCGTTGGAGCAGTGGGCAAAAGACCTCGGGGACTGAAAATAGCATGATCGCTTTATTAGGGTTCAGTCGTGAACAAACAAAACCAAAGAGTCATGCATCGTTGAAATTTTGAATGCATCTGTAATGACATCAGTGTAACTGCGAGGGACAAACACAACAAATGGGCCACTCCCAGGAGTCAACATAATGTGTTTAACTTTGTCATAATGAGGCTAATGCAGCAATAATAGCAGTTTGCAAACGCAACAAATGTTTACATCAGAGCGAACTGCCTGGAATCAATTTGTGTCATTCAGTTTGCAACACGGCCCTGTACTTCATCATAACAAGCAAAATTTGTCATAAGCATCAAATGCTTCTGCCAAACGCAAAAAAAAATGTTCACAGGAGTCAATATGTTCGGAATAAACAGTGATAATATCAATTTAAATGCTCACAAAAAAAAGCATACAATACAGTTTCAATCAGGTGGCAACATAATATGTTATTTTGTCTTTTATTATAGGTCAAAATGTCAGAATAGTAAAGATTAAAAAGTAATGCTGGTTTGAAAACTATTTATAAAACAACAACTGGTAAAAGCCGAGTTTACTCCCAAGAGTCACTATAAAGAGCAGTTGGACTTTTAGCATGGCCCAAAAGGTCAAAATAGGACGAAAATGGTGAAGATATCTGTTCAAATGCTATTTACAAACACAACAAATGTTCACAGCAGAGTTACACTATAATGTGTTTTCAAGATTTTGTTGAAACATCCCATAACTTCATAAAATTAGTATTAAACCGTGCTACCAGTTTGAAAGCGATTTACAGACACGGCAAATGTCAATCAGTTTCTGTAAATGCGTATATTATACCGTACTTGTATTTTTTGCACGTTCGAAATAAATTCTTCGGGCAAAAAAATGCGCACAGCAGTTTACGCCGACAAGCCAGTGCCGTGTGTGATTTAGGTTGCAGTATGTCCTTTTTTTTTTTTAATTCAGAATTCTTTTTACACAACACATTAAAAATACCGGTTTAAATTGTATAAACAGACCCAAGACTTGCTTCCCCGCCAAACAAGTCATACGCATTAGATTTTTTTTAAGTCGTAAACAAATAATTTCCTTCATGTTTACTTTATGCAGGAGTTACCCTTATTTGGGTCCAGTGGAGTTGTTTGTTGGTTTATCATGCACGCATCCAAAGTCATAGTACAAATATAAAACAGTATCATCCCTAGAAGGATAAACAATCCCTCATCGAGGCACAATTTTAAAACGAATACTGAGACTATTGTTCACGGGTACAACCAAATACTGTAGTCACAGTTTTGTACAGTATTTATCACTAAATAACTTTAAGGTTTTAAATTAGAATGGACTTCCTGCGATTCTGATGAGAATCACTTTATCCATTTGCTTTATTTATGGTGGTGAATTTATACATACAGCGCACACACATTCATATATATATATATATATATATATCGAGGCACAATTTTAAAACGAATACTGAGACTATTGTTCACGGGTACAACCAAATACTGTAGTCACAGTTTTGTACAGTATTTATCACTAAATAACTTTAAGGTTTTAAATTAGAATGGACTTCCTGCGATTCTGATGAGAATCACTTTATCCATTTGCTTTATTTATGGTGGTGAATTTATACATACAGCGCACACACATTCATA